ATCCTTTCCTGGCAAAACGAGATCAATTCTTGGCACAGAGATTGAAATGGATGCTGCACTGAAACATTCTCTAAATGGTGCCACTGCTGCTACACTTTTGATCTTCATGTTGGACGCGGCCTTGACAAATGCCCTGGTGAAAGGCTTGTAAATTGAACTATGCAAAACGGTGAAATTGTTTATTGTACTGATTTTTGTCCCTCCAACTCCTTCTTTGTCAAAGGTTAAGTACGATGTTTTGATAGCCAGAGGCGTCCCCTCGACTCTGATAGATTGTACATCGATGAAATACTCATCAGATGGATCGCCTTCACTGTAAATTGGGTAAGTGCTAACTGGATTTATAATAAGAGGTGTAGACAGAGGTAATTTAGTAGTAGTGTCCTTTCCCCCACCAATGAATATTTTCCCCACCCCTTTATCAGGTGGTATACACAATGCAAATTTGTCAGGTAACTTGAATTTATCTGCAACTTGTTTATGCAAGGAAATCTCAGTCCTTGCAAGGCCTAGCATTCTAGTAGCTATAATGGCGAAACCAGTCAGGTGCTCTGAATGGAAACAAGAAAAAGGAAGCTCGAAAACTTTCATATTATTTTTGGAGTATAATGTATCCTCTGCAATCCCTTCAGGATAAAGCAAATTTTCAAAGGGACTGTATGGGGAGGCAATACAAGTGTCATTGGTGCACCCCGGACGAGGAGCCTGACTGCAACCTATGCATCCAAATCCCTTCACTTTTTCACATTTCTGGGATTCACAGGGAATTGGATTATAGGTTGATGAAGTGTAGGAATCACAGGAAAACCACAAGAACTGGGAGCCAAGATCAATGACAGCATTAATCGTGACACGGTTGCTGCCCATTTCTAGTGTCGTGTAGTATTGTGAAGTTTTTGCGTCCTTCTTAACGGGAAGGACAAGCCCGTTAGATGGCGGCACATTTGCAGCATGCACAGAACTGCAAATAAAAATTGCAAGAAAGAAATAGAGGCTATGGAGAGAAGAAGCCATTGGAAACAGTATTATGCAATTTCAAGCAAGGCCTGAACACCAATTTGTACTGCAAAATCGAATGTGGATTACTTTTGCTAGTCAAAGTTTTTGTTCTGTGGCTATTAGAATAGGAAATTGTAAATCTACTCCCACTTTGTCTACCATAGTGTACTATATAGATCATACACGTGGAATCAACTATAAAAGCACGTTAGGGTCTTATTTTCTCACCAAAATGTATTTTGAAATAATATTTTAATAGAGAATATATGGTTAAAAAATAAGGAAAAATCTTGGATTTATTTGTAATATTATTTTATTTAAAAAGTGCATAATTAAAAATAAAATAGAAAAAAATGTATTTTAAAAATAATGTTGACCAAACTAAGGGCTAAATAAATTGACTTTGTCAGGTAGAAATTCTACCTTCAATCAAATAGGGAAATTGAGAGTATTATTCTATTTTGGTAAGATTTGGACCTCAGGGAATTGACGGATCGAAATTGAGGAGTCCCTTGATCTATTTTATTTGGCCCATGTTTTATTTAACAAAAAATTATCTTTTTTAATAAATTTTGATACATGTTGATAAGATGTTTAACTGAAATGTTGTGTGAACGAAAACGAGTTTAAGAAAAAATGAATTTTATTATTCCACGTTAGATCACTAAATTTTTTTACTGCCAATGTACTAAAGATTTTTAATTCAATTTTGAGAATTGTGGTTCTCCTAACTATTCTGAACTAGTGCTATTTGTGACATTTACATTATTTTTTATTCTTTACTTATACTGCTTAAGTGTCACTCACTTACTGGTAGCTAAGTGGTCACTTTGATTGTGCTTGTTTGAATCATTTGTGACCGTTGGATGAGATGGACGGTTGAGATTGATTCTTGGGGAAGATATTTTCGTTTTCTTGCTTCTTTGAGACACTAGACTTTTTTAAGACTAGACTTTTGGTTCTCTCCCTCTCGTTTCGTTCTTAAAATCTGTCTTCTTCTTCTCTGGGTGATCCGTGTGCTGAATCTGGTGAGTTAGAGGGCGATATCGTGTGCATTCTAGGCTTGAAATAATGGCTGGAGTTAAGGCATCTTTCTCTAAGTTAACTGGCCAAATTTGTGGCCCTTTTGGGAGATCTCTTTTGATCGATGACCAAACAGATTCTTCACTGAGCGTTCTTTGGATCTCTCTCTTTCTGGACGATGGATTGGCAAGTGCAGAAAGGGCTATTCCTGAGCATATTGTTTCCAGCCAAACAAAGGGAAGTAGAGCTCGGTTTTTGTACTCATTAGTTTCTATGTTTTTCATATGATTGCGCTGTTTAGTTTATGCTTGAGTTGTATAATGAACTGAGTGAGATTTTCCCAACAAAGCTGGTAACAGAGCCCTTCGGTCTAGGACTTGGTTGTGTTCTTCCTTGGATTTGTTTGGGTACGTTATTTTGAGTGAGATTATCAGTATGGACCTTCTAAGGTCTAAACTGAAAATATCACGTTGAGGTATTCTGTTTTTAACCGACAATGATTCCTCTGTGTTTTTCATTGTATGTTGTTGACTGGTTTGGATGATTGATGGCTTTGGCTGGCTTGCTCGACTGAGAGCTTGAAGGTATATTTACTGTTTTTCAACAGTCAACTGGTAAGATTGTTCCAACCTCACCTTTGAATACGGTTTGGTGATCTTTCCTGCTTGATGCATGATTACTTGATTACCTATTTGTGAATTCTGGTGATTGGATTCTTATGACTGATTTGTAATCTTGGAAGCATTTTTACTTGCATCAATACCTGCGTATTGCCGAGCTTAAATTACACTTCCACAAACATCACATTGAGGTTTCTTGATCGGATTGATTCATTTCTGTACTTCAATTTCTGGATATTGTTTTTTAACTCTGTGGTTCTATATTGATCATCTGGAAAAGATTTTTTGAAGATATTTTCTGTTATGTCCACGAGTACA